GTCGAAACATATATGATTCATTTATCGTACATAAATGTCGAGTGATATTCGAAAGCTTCGCCTGAGTTGTGAGCTGTTTGATTGGCCTTGGACTGCGGGAGCTGCCACCTGAGTTGCTTTGCGAAATCAATTGTTCGACATGAGAAATTGTTCTCATGGGCATTTGGTTGTTGTGCTCCGATACAAATACACACTGGAATGACTCTACAATGTACGAATGACTTGCTCATGGTGTCATTTCATTCTATCTATTCACAGAGCCCTAATTAAGTTACTGCTGGCATTTACTAGTACCTCGTTGATGCTGAAATTACTGTTCAATAATTTCTGAAGAATATTGGTGCCGACGGTATGAGTGGTCGACGAGGGCCGCATTCAGTAGGTACCTACGGTACTAATTTACAATTCTGGTGGAATAAATATTTCTAAAAGTGCACGAGAAGTATTGCCGTTGAGCTTCTTGGAGAAAAAAAAATCATCATATTACATCAATCATGATTGCTTATCGTATCAGCATTAGATAAAGTGTTGTTGATACACCGTTGCTGAGCCCTAATTTAGTAAAGCATATCAGAAGGAGCTGCGATGCTGTTGCCAGTGCGGTACCGTACCGGAATTATTGGGCTTGTTTTGTGACGTTTAAAAAATGAACAAAGGCTTGCTCTACAAATTGTTTGAATGTTATCCTTGAAAAATCGATCAAAATAATAACTGCGAATTTGTTGTGAACACATGTACTTAAGGAGCCAGCTATATGATCGAGACGACAAGGAAAGACGAACAACTATACATGGATGTGCTCGAGGGCGTAGAAGGTTAAGCCATTCGCATGGAGTTTCCTGTGATTGCGTGTAGAAACTCGCAATAAAGCATGAGCACAACAAGCAGCGCGCGGAATCAAGATTCCAGACCATCTTCCACACATCAAACCCTTGATTCCGTGTGCAATCTGTGCATGGAAGCCCGTCAGCTGTGCCCACAACCGTGAACACCTGTGCCATCATCGGACGGATGTGGCCGCCTGCTCTGATCTATTTGTATAGCTCTTTGATTTAATGGACTTTCCCATAAACCTTGTAGTGGCTTGTGTTGTGTATTTATTCTATCTCTTATTTTCTTAGCCAAGAATGCCGATGTTATCTTGAACATTTAACCCAAAGTCTCCTTACTGGAAGCATAGCTATAAAGCTGTCAAATCGCCATAACTATGACGAAGTTTAATCTATCCACCAACAAGTGGTTACCGAAATACGGGAAGGCCTCACTAGTAAGGCGCCAAGACACGGCAAGTTGAGATGACAACGGGACGAACGGGTAAGAATGTTTCATTTTAATACCCATTTAGAAGAATTTCTTCATTGACAATAGAGACTATTGCGGCTACCCGGAGACAACGCCGAAGAGTTACAAGGGACACTGCAGACCACAGCTGTGGTAGGAGCGTTGGGCTCGGGCGGCAGCATTGAGGGAGTTAGGAGTGCTATGTTTGTGTTCGTAGTTATGCGCCGCATTCTAAAATTTGAACAGGTTTTGTAATCTATGCGATATATGCTCCTGTGTGTTGCTTTCTCAAGCGAGACTGATGATTATATAGCCTTGGTTTTGAGTGCGTATTATGTAATAACACTACTTGACGTTCAAGTTTGATTGAAGTTGGACAATAATTACTACCGGAAGATATGTTTACTTTGTTATGGCTTGTAAGTCAAAATAGTCATTTTTTAATCCATCGTCAGTACCTCTGAGTTTAGTAACGCTGAAGTGAAGAAGTGAACAAATTTTTTAAAATGACACTCCACGTTGATGCTAAGGTTTACTACTCATACGGTGTGCTTAACTCAAGTATACTAGCCTCTAGGTGTTAACTCAAGTGCACTAGCCTCTAGGTGTTAGTTAACTCAAGTGTACTAGCCTCTAGGACTAGGTGTATCCAGTCACTGGTCATAGAGATCAGTATGTATGCTCTCCATCGCCAACTCGTTTCTTAGCGGGTTAGGCTTCCCAGCTGTGGCGTATCTAAGACCAAAATTGACGTTTTAGATCGACATTTTGATCTGAGTGCAGCAGTTTCATGACAGTAAGAAAGTTTCGAGAAGTTTTGAAGAGCAACAAACGCTCACTGCTGCAATGATGCCGTGTAATATATATCTGTCATTTTATTTCTCGGAAATTTCGAAGGAAACGCTGCTTGTTGAATATTGTATTTATTGTTGTTGTAGTTGTTAGTTGTTGTACTCGTGTTATTCGTGTGGCGAGGTGCAGGAGTTTTTTGTTTGTAATTTCCTAAACCGTTTGTTTTTCGAGGTTACCGAGTTTTTTTTTCATTGAATTTATCCTGGTACGGTACTTTATTAAGTATCAAATTCGATTAATAATTATCAAATAGAATGTACCTACGGTATCGAATAAAATATCAGGATATCAGTGGAGAAAAGCGTTATTGATTGTCTTACGGAAGTAATTCCAGGGGCATAAGTGAACCAGTAGAGATGAACCATTAAAATAAAAGATGTATTTCTCTTTTCTCGGTGTGTGTATCTTATCTTGTTAAATCATAAGGACTTAGGGCAAAGAGAACAATGATGATTTTTTCATTTAAACAGCGCAGGAACCCTGAACAATTGGGTCGAATTGATTTGAATTTCAACTTAGTAGTAGTTGATAGTATCCACTCTCGAATAATTTTTTTGCATCCTGTTAAATTTTTTTGTTCATTTGATTCCTACACGACCGCATTTTTTTACTCATTAGAGCGTGAATATAAAATAACTTTGAAAAGTTGCTAATTACCATTGCGTAAGAATGTTGTCTTAATTTATGCATCTTTGCTGCGGGTGGATCGAAAGTTTAAAATTTACTATAATTTCTTTTCAGGAAGTTTCCTTGTATTCGTGTCTCTTACGGTTAGTGAGTTGGAGGCTGACAGGCGTAGCTACATCTCTTAATTACGGTTAGTGAGTTGGAAGCTGACAGGCGTAGCTGAGTCTCTTACGGTTAGTGAGTTGGAAGCTGACAGGCGTAGCTACGTCTCTTACGGTTAGTGTGTTGGAGGCTGACAGGCGTAGCTACGTCTCTTACGGTTAGTGAGTTGGAAGCTGACAGGCGTAGCTACGTCTCTTACGGTTAGTGAGTTGGAGGCTGACAGGCGTAGCTACGTCTCTTACGGTTAGTGAGTTGGAGGCTGACAGGCGTAGCTACGTCTCTTGATTACGGTTACTGAGTTGGAGGCTGACAGACGTAGCTGAGTTTCTTAGGACTACGACGGTTCAGGTTTAGCACCAGGTTGAGTCGTGCATCCAACGCTCAAGGCCTCACCGATTAGCCCTTTTCNCTATGACGAAGTTTAATCTATCCACCAACAAGTGGTTACCGAAATACGGGAAGGCCTCACTAGTAAGGCGCCAAGACACGGCAAGTTGAGATGACAACGGGACGAACGGGTAAGAATGTTTCATTTTAATACCCATTTAGAAGAATTTCTTCATTGACAATAGAGACTATTGCGGCTACCCGGAGACAACGCCGAAGAGTTACAAGGGACACTGCAGACCACAGCTGTGGTGGGAGCGTTGGGTTCGGGCGGCAGCATTGAGGGAGTTAGGAGTGCTATGTTTGTGTTCGTAGTTATGCGCCGCATTCTAAAATTTGAACAGGTTTTGTAATCTATGCGATATATGCTCCTGTGTGTTGCTTTCTCAAGCGAGACTCATGATTAAATAGTCTGGGTTTTGAGTGCGTATTATGTAATAACACTACTTGACGTTCAAGTTTGATTGAAGTTGGACAATAATTACTACCGGAAGATATGTTTACTTTGTTATGGCTTGTAAGTCAAAATAGTCATTTTTTAATCCATCGTCAGTACCTCTGAGTTTAGTAACGCTGAAGTGAAGAAGTGAACAAATTTTTTAAAATGACACTCCACGTTGATGCTAAGGTTTACTACTCATACGGTGTGCTTAACTCAAGTATACTAGCCTCTAGGTGTTAACTCAAGTGCACTAGCCTCTAGGTGTTAGTTAACTCAAGTGTACTAGCCTCTAGGACTAGGTGTATCCAGTCACTGGTCATAGAGATCAGTATGTATGCTCTCCATCGCCAACTCGTTTCTTAGCGGGTTAGGCTTCCCAGCTGTGGCGTATCTAAGACCAAAATTGACGTTTTAGATCGACATTTTGATCTGAGTGCAGCAGTTTCATGACAGTAAGAAAGTTTCGAGAAGTTTTGAAGAGCAACAAACGCTCACTGCTGCAATGATGCCGTGTAATATATATCTGTCATTTTATTTCTCGGAAATTTCGAAGGAAACGCTGCTTGTTGAATATTGTATTTATTGTTGTTGTAGTTGTTAGTTGTTGTACTCGTGTTATTCGTGTGGCGAGGTGCAGGAGTTTTTTGTTTGTAATTTCCTAAACCGTTTGTTTTTCGAGGTTACCGAGTTTTTTTTTCATTGAATTTATCCTGGTACGGTACTTTATTAAGTATCAAATTCGATTAATAATTATCAAATAGAATGTACCTACGGTATCGAATAAAATATCAGGATATCAGTGGAGAAAAGCGTTATTGATTGTCTTACGGAAGTAATTCCAGGGGCATAAGTGAACCAGTAGAGATGAACCATTAAAATAAAAGATGTATTTCTCTTTTCTCGGTGTGTGTATCTTATCTTGTTAAATCATAAGGACTTAGGGCAAAGAGAACAATGATGATTTTTTCATTTAAACAGCGCAGGAACCCTGAACAATTGGGTCGAATTGATTTGAATTTCAACTTAGTAGTAGTTGATAGTATCCACTCTCGAATAATTTTTTTGCATCCTGTTAAATTTTTTTGTTCATTTGATTCCTACACGACCGCATTTTTTTACTCATTAGAGCGTGAATATAAAATAACTTTGAAAAGTTGCTAATTACCATTGCGTAAGAATGTTGTCTTAATTTATGCATCTGTGTTGCGGGTGAATTGAAAAGTTTAAAATTTACTATAATTTCTTTTCAGGAAGTTTCCTTGTATTCGCATGACTACTGGGCATTTTAGAGGCATAGAATACATCGATTGTTCTTTGCAATTAATTATATAACGATAACATTTGTGGAGTGCAAATGAACGTTGTTGGGCTGCGAGTTGTAAACTCAGAAGCTAAATTACAGTGAGTTGAAGATTTAGTTGTTCGACATTGATAATATTTTAGTGTTTTATAATATATTTGAGGCCAGCAATCACTTTCTACTCATCAAGCCTCCTCGCTTCACTATCGTTCAAGAAGTCCTACCAATCCCCTAGCAATGGCAACTTCACAAACCGCCTCCAAGCTCACTCCCCAGAAACCAGTTCCACTGACCACGTGAGTTACCTGCCAATTATTGACGTTATCATTGAATTATCTTACAATAATTTTTTCGGTATTTAAAACTCCTACTTCAGCACCCAAAGTTCCCAATGATAAATTCATGGTCCTTTTTATTTAAACACTGCATTCTTTTTCCGATTTTTAAACTCAACATATCCATTTCAATATTTAAGACAAGCTATTTATTCTTGGTGTCCACTCCGTCAGCATTTTACAAAATTGCTCATTTTGCTGCTCTTTCTTTTTTTCACTTGCGGTTGAACTTTATGACTTGTATGACTTGTTATGACTTGTTATGACTGCATGACTTGTCTCTCCTCTGTTGGTGTCTGAAGATATTGTTCTTCGTTCTTTTCAGTACAACGGGCATGTAATGCTGGTCACATTAATTTTAATAATGAATAGATCACTTGAAACGGGCAAACAAGTGACCGTTCCTCCACGCTTAATTCAGTGTTCTTTACTCCTAGTGTGCGTATTTTCGTAGACGTGCAGATGTACGTGCACACATGCGAATATAACATGTACGTGCACACCTACGAATATAAAGTGAGTCTTCTTCCCCAAGAAAGATCAAGCGGCTGTGCTATGAATGTAACATTGACATCTGTACAGTTCACCACCTCAATAGGTCACGGCGGGAGTGTAGCGTAGAGAGAGAGAGTCTCTTGTTGCCTCCCTTGTGGGCCGTCGTGGCTGCTGTTGCAGTGACTACTCGCCCTCACAGTCGCTTGCCACATTCTTTACACTGTCACCTTACATTCGTAACACTGTCGTCCTCCATTGCTTACACAATCACACTCTAATCCTTACATTATCACCTTCCTTACCTTACACTGTCAAAGTACCTGTTTCGTCCATTCGATACGCCTTCTCTGCCCATTTATTACATAGTCGCAATGTAATCGTTACACTGTCACCTTCCATTTGTCACAGTCCCTGTCAATTTGTCATACAGTCACCGCCCTTTTGTCATGCAGCCAACATCAATTCACTATTCATTCACCGTCTATTCATCGCTCTGGATGAAATCAGGACTTGCGTAAATCATCAATACAAAGCCGCATGCAGTTCGTTGCCCCGTTGCCAGACAGGGAGTTTATTTGTACCCTTGCTTCTCTCAGATCATGTCTCTTGCAGTTCGTTGCCCCCGTTGCCGGACAGGGAGTTTATTTGTACACTTGCTTCTCACAGATCATGTCTCTTGCAGTTCGTTGCCCCCGTTGCCGGACAGGGAGTTTATTTGTACCCTTGCTTCCCACAGATCATGTCTCTTGCAGTTCGTTGCCCCCGTTGCCGGACAGGGAGTTTATTTGTACCCTTGCTTCTCACAGATCATGTCTCTTGCAGTTCGTTGCCCCCGTTGCCGGGCAGAGAGTTTATTTGTACCCTTGCTTCTCACAGATTATCAGGGCCCTTACAGTTCGTTGCCCCCGTTGCCGGGAAGATATGCACATGTTTTTTCCCGCAATTCAGCAGGTGAAAAATTTCGCTTTTATGAAAATCACTGCATGTTTTTGGTGTCGACGATAATTTTACTCTTTTTAGTTGATGCATTAATCTAGAATATAATTTATATTTGATTTGATAATATTTTCTGATTGAATGCTTAAATATTAGTACAATGAAAATGATTCAATTATGATTTTATCACATCTGATTTTATTTTTACCATTACCTCTGATTTTTTAATATTAAACACTCATAGCGTAGACAAATTGTAATTGTTTTAAGTTCATTTATCACAATCTGCTATTACGTTATAGCGTTTTTCTCAGATGTAACCTTTGCTGTTGATTTTGATTCGTTAGTAACTTTATCAATTGTTTGCGTCTGTGTAAATTTCACCAGGAATCTTCCATTTCCCTTGCATATCACCTATTTCTAATCGACATATTATTCAAAAAATAATAATCCAAAATTATGTTTTTGTTATATAAGTGCAATGATATCTGGGATTATATAACAGCGTTATTTTTGGTGCTACTTTTCCTTTACCCCATTCCATAAACAACTTTATCAGTTCCTTTCGTCTGCTATTTGAGTATTCCTTCAACGTTATCTTATCCCTGACGTGATATTCATCATAAGTAGCAACAAAGATTCTTCCCAATGACTTCGTAATTCAAAGTAAGAAGCTTGAATTTATTGTGTTGCTTGCTATCTTTTAGTCAAGTACCTCGCCTTATTGCTGCGATGCAAAAGATGGAGATTCATTAGAAAGCCTGGCATGTGATAACTCTTCCTTATCACCGGTAAGTGATAACAATTTACGCATATACTAGCCCCAACACTGGCTCTTAAGATAACACTGGGTAAGTTTTAGCTGCTAGTATATTTGTAGTATTACCTGCTACTAGTGTTGCCTGCAACTAATTACACAGCTCACTCGTGTTTAGGGGTTCATTCAGAGAAATGAGTGAGAAGAACAGACTAAAAAGGCCACACAGGAGCATGTTTAGTCCTAAAATGCCTCGTATCCTACGGAACAACTGATATGTAGAAGCGATTTTAAACCTACCGTCCGTTGAAAAGATTTGATCAAAAGGCCAGTCTAGTTAAGAAAAGTACAAGAATCGGCGACAGGCCTCTCCAGGCCTATTCTTCAATGACGAAGATACTATACTTTACACCTCGCCTCATCACTCCCCTCACGCCCATGTTGTCCACCTCGCCTCATCATTCTCCTCACGCCCATGTTGTCCACCTCGCCTCATCATTCTCTCACGCCCATGTTGCTGTCTCTTATACACATCTAGATGTGTATAAGAGACACGCCCATGTTGTCCACCTCGCCTCTTCATTCTCCTCACGCCCATGTTGTCCACCTCGCCTCATCATTCTCCTCACGCCCCATGTTGTCTGCCCACCCCTACTGCAGTATTCAGGTTCATGGTGCCTAGCAGGAGTGTATGTAGAACCTAATACCAGAACCTGAGCATCTGTTCTGGTTATTCGTGTCTAGGTTTGAACGCGGTCACTTGTTCGTTCTTTTTAATTCGGCCGACACTGCATGATTCTGCTTATTGTCTGTCCTGCCGCTGCAATCGCGCGTCATCCTAAACGTGTTCCTGAGACCCTCAACTACTGCAGTGGAAACAATTAGCGCGGTTTAAGAATAATTGTATATAATAATTTATGTTACTATAGGTTGGCAGAATTTCTTCTTTCAAGCAGGTTTCATTGAAGACCATCGGTAACCTGATTTTCGATTTGCCAGTTCAAACTAAAAATATTGTTCGATATATTGAAAAAACTAATAAGAAAATTGCGAATAAAACAAATTCTCTGGTCTTCAATGAAACCTGCTTGAAAGAATAATTTATGTATATATATATCATAAAATCAATAATATTACCTAATAATATTATGTTGTATCGCACCGAAATAGAATCATGTTACAACTTACAAGTCTCAAAAATCAGATGACAAAAAATGTCGACTGCTAGCGTTCTACTTATGCGCTTCAAACAGCTGCAGTCCCACAGTATGACTCTTATCCGTCTCCTCCGTTCATGAGTAGTCGCTTCGTTGCCTACCCGTAATGTTTCCGTCATCCTGTCGTAAACAAGAGAAGTATAATATACTTAAATGTAGACAATACCACTTTATGTGCCAGCATTAGTACGCTTCATGAAGTGAGATGTTAGTTAATACTCCTCGCTGCCACTTCTATGGTGTCGGTGACATTAAGATGGTCAGTGGTTCGATTTGCCATAGTAAACACAGTAACTTGCCACTGACCTGAGAAAACTGCAGCACGTTGCCTCACTGCAACGTCACCACGCAGCACGTTGCATCACTGCAACGTCACCACGCAGCACGTTGCATCACTGCAACGTCACCACGCAGCACGTTGCTTCACTGCAACGTCACCACGCAGCACGTTGCTCACTGCAACGTCACCACGCAGCACGTTGCCTCACTGCAACGTCACCACGCAGCACGTTGCATCACTGCAACGTCACCACGCAGCACGTTGCTCACTGCAACGTCACCACGCAGCACGTTGCTCACTGCAACGTCACCACGCAGCACGTTGCTCACTGCAACGTCACCACGCAGCACGTTGCTCACTGCAACGTCACCACGCAGCACGTTGCTCACTGCAACGTCACCACGCAGCACGTTGCTCACTGCAACGTCACCACGCAGCACGTTGCTCACTGCANAAGAGACAGCTACTAGACTTCCACCGGGTTCGATAAGGAGCTAGGCATTTCAAATCTGAACATATATTTTTCCATAGCTTTATCTAGTCTGTTCTTGAACGCGTTCATACTTGGAGCTCCAACGATGTCATCGGGGAGGCTGTTCCACATGTCGGTGATTATGTTGTTTTGTTGGCAACCTTCCTCACTTTTATTCCAACTGAGCCACTTTTTCAGTCTCGAGGTACCTCTTCGCTGACGGAAGCAGTGATAATTTTGAAATATTTCATCTTGGGTCCTTTTCTATTCAGAGATGGCGAGATAGAACCAGTTTCATGCCGCACTTTTATTCAACGGCAGCAAGTCATGTGCATCATCTGCAATAATGAGATAGAATTAATAATTAATAGGTCCCTTCTTATAACCATCAGATGTAAGGGTACGCACACAGTGAAAGCAGGGTGCCAGCGTGCTGGTTACCTGCTTAGGCTGGCGCCTGAAACCATAGAATACAGAAGTCTATTCGTACAGGTTTTCACTGTGAACACTTACATTATTATCCTATGTTCATTCTTGTGGCAGGTTGNCTCCATTTTTTTGCCCTTAGGGTACGCACACAGTGAAAGCAGGTTGCCAGCGTGCTGGTTACCTGCTCAGGCTGGCGCCTGAAACCATAAAATACAGAAGCCTATTCGTACAGATTTTCACTGTGAACACTTACATTATTATCCTATCTTCATTCTTGTGGCAGGTTGGAGCAGGTTGCCCGCGCTGGCAAACCTGCTTTCACTGTGTGCGTACCCTAATGGTAATTAAATAATGGTAATTAAATAAGGTAATTGGTTGTTTGTCGCAGGACCGTAGTAGAAATGTGGAGCATGTTGGTGACGCTGGTGACGGTCACGGCTGCGCTGTTTGTGTCTCTCCTCATCACAGCCTACGCCGCCCTCAAGACTCTTGTGCCCCGACGCTACCGCCGCCACGACATCACCGGCAAGGTCGCAATTATCTCTTATGATTATTGTTTCAATATTTTTTCCTTTTTACAGACTTTGAGTATCGTTACAATACCATTTTACTTTATGTTTTTATTAAATATCCAGAATTTTGGAGCCTATTTTGCGCGGCATTTTTGTCATTGCATCACATCGATGCAATGGGATGTTTTTTATGTTTCATCTTTAAAAAATTTTTTAAAGAAAATCTGTCTATAAAGCTTGCTTTCTTCCAAATACTTTCAGAACGCTGTTAAATTAGTTGATTAGTATTAGTTAATTTAATTTAATATTAGTTATTAAATCGAAAGAACGAATCTTTATGTATAAAAAGACTGCAGACCCCATGCCTCCCCTCCTCCCGCGCTCAGGTGGTGCTGGTGACGGGCGGCGGCTCTGGCATCGGCCGCCTCTTGTGCATCAAACTCGCGCACCGCGGCGCCAGAATTGTCTCGTGGGACGTCAACGTGGCGGGTGCGTGGTGGGGTGGTGGGTGGCGGGGTGTCGTGTCCCTCAGAACTGTACTCATCTTGACAGTCCAGAGTACAGCAGCTGTACGTGTCCCTCAGAACTGTACTCATCTTGACAGTCCAGACCACAGCAGCTGTACGTGTACCTCAGAACTGTGCTCATCTTGACAGTCCAGAGCACAGCAGCTGTACGTGTCCCTTAGAACTGTACTCATCTTGACAGTCCAGAGCACAGCAGCTGTGCGTGAACCTCAGAACTGTACTCATCTTGACAGTCCAGAGCACAGCAGCTGTGCGTGTACCTCAGAACTGTACTCATCTTGACAGTCCAGAGCACAGCAGCTGTACGTGTACCTCAGAACTGTACTCATCTTTGACCATACTTTCAAAATTCGCTAAGTGAACGTAAGTACTTACGCTCTATTTTCTTGCCTATGATTGGTGGATTTTGCTTGAAAGGCCGTCAATGATTGACTGATGAACTTACGATCTCTTAATTTTTTTTTAAAGTATAGGCCTTTGGCAGGTAACGAAGAGACGGAGCGGCTGGTCAAGGCAGGAGGTCACGAGTGTCAAGCGCGCACTGTTGACCTCTGCGACCGGTCGGCCATCTACCGCGCGGCTGACGAGCTACAAAAGCAAGGCATAAAAGTGAGTCCCGTGAATTATTTATTATTTAAACTACGTGTACATAACACGTGCAGTTGATGCAAAAGATCACGTCAGTGGTTCATAGGAATGTTTGTTTGGTAGGTGTTGAATTTTAAATTGCTTAGCAGGATCTACCCGCGACGTCAGATCACAATTCCGGTGTTCGCAACGAATACAAATTTTCTACCTGATCTGACTCCATAAGATAAGATGAAATAACTAGTCAGTTGTCAAGGATACGAAACCTATTACCTATACACCAATTATTTCCTTTATTCTCTTCAAACTTCACAAGAACACCGAAAGTTGACCATTTTTCATATCTTTTATATAAATTTACCAATGTTTTTCCATTTTTTACCATCATGAAAATCTGCTCCGAATCACAAGTAGAGCTTCTGGCTGTTACCAGCTATGAAAATTCATTGAGACAGAAATTTTGAGCGAATAAAGAAATTTGGGAGACTAAAATATCTAACTCAGAAGTGTTCCTACAAACTCCCAAAAACTTATGAAAGCTCACAGTAGAGTTACGTATTGGTTTATTGCGTCGGTGATGTCATTCGCCGGACGGCTGGCGACACCAACCAAGCCCGGGGCCGGGGATTTTCCTGTGTTGTTTTGCAAGCATAAACTGAAGAGAAAACGATTGCTTCAAAAGTATTAACTTGGTATTTATGATTGTTTATCGGATACTGTTCGGATGCACTGTTATTGCGATTACCTAATACATTATAATTTTATTAAAGGAAAAGTATATTCATATTAATGTAAAAACGAATTTACCAATGATTAGCAGATAGTTTGTCATTTCATAAATGTCATGGTAGGTACATGCGCGAGATATTATTCTTTTAAAATCCCATGGTTACGATTTATGAATTAGACCTCACCTGAAGGAAGGTCTGAAAAGCAGCAAACCCGGAAGAATTTTGATCATTGTTCGTATCTACTAAATCATTCGTTTGCAACAGAAGTTTTATCATGAAAAGTGTACCGCGCATCAAGCGACTGCGTGCGGAATGTTTCGTCGAAAGTTTGTAGATGCTCATGCCAATAAAATGTCGAGGAAAAAGCAGCTATTATTAAAGTTCTTACGTGCTTTGCTCCTCTGGCCCACGCACTAAAAAACCCGACTTTCATGTAGAGTAGGGGCGGCTTTTTACCGCTCAGCAGCGACTGCGCGTCTAAACTTCCTTTCTTTTCTCTATGGCTGCTTGAGCCTGAATAATGAGCTTGGTTTGTATGAATATCTTCATGTTATGAATTGAACGTCTTTACTTGTTATTCAGCCGGGACAATAATTACTTATGTGGTTTGGAGTGGCTGGGTGCAGGGATTAGGATGTTTCGTGCGCCACGAAACGTGGTGCAATACATAAATGATTCATCTTAATTCAAAGATTCAATGTTTCATCTTAATTCTGTGATAATTAAGATAATGATTCATCTGTGATAATTAAGATAATGAGATAAGATAATGAATCCGAAGATAATGTTTTATCTTAATTCAAAGGTTGACATCCTCATCAACAACGCGGGCATCGTGACAGGCCGCAACTTCCTGGAGTCTCCGGACGAGCTCGTCGAGCGCACCTTCGCTGTGAACGTCCTTAGCCACTTCTGGGTGAGTTATTGAATCCTTCTCGAAGACAACCAGTTTTATGTTGGTCATTATTTTTACTAATGAACCTCGCTTTCCAAACTGCTGCATTCGGGATTTAACAAGAATCCACAATAAATTGAATTGAGAAATAAGCTCAAAAATCATTTTAAATCTCAACATATCCGGCGTCAAGAGAAGAACTGTTCCATGCTTGTTTGCTCAGCTTCTCGTTTTCTTGTCCTGCATTGCTTACTTAGCAAACTAACATTGAATACTAATTATACTTGATTAACTTACTTGGGTATGTAGTTGACTAAAGCTCTTGACGCTATTATTCAATCAGTATCAACTCTGGCAAAATCAGCTACGCGTACGGACTCAAGCGGACTCTATGTATTGTATACATATGTGAGTGATGAAAACGCCATGAAAATTCACCATATCGATATTGAACCATATCGGTATTGAACCATATCGATATTGAACCATATCGATACTGAACCATATCGATATTGAACCATATCGATATTGAACCATATCGATATTGAACCATATCGATATTGAACCATATCGATATTGAACCTGTCTCTTATACACATCTAGATGTGTATAAGAGACAGGTCCTTAGCCGCCACTTCTGGGTGAGTCCTTAGCCACTTCTGGGTGAGTCCTTGTCTGCGGGCAGTTTTGGGCAAGTTCTTCTCTTCTAAGCGATTCCTTCACTAATGCCTGAGTATAGAAAATTACTTGTAGGTGTATTATTAATATTTAAAAGTGAATCGGTTACTTAATATTGCGGACGCGGTGTTGTTAGTGCCAGTGAAGAGTTTAATTTAATGAGCAGTGAAATGTTGAACTGTTGAAGGAGGCATGATAGTTTTAAAATTTTTCTATTTATCTTCCGAGTTAATATATGAAATAGCTCTTTTACTTCTGCTTGCTCCTTACCCTCTAGTTGTTTTTTCCTTATATATTCAAGGTTATAATGTAATCGTATAAGAGGAAGATTATTTCATTAGCAGTTTGATCAGTCGTCGCCACAGAACATGTTCAGCGTGCATGCCTGTGTTGCTAATCATCATCTCGCACTAAGATTATGTAATTATCTTATTTACGAACTACAAAGGAACAACAGTTTTGTTAAACCTCAAGATTTTATTAAGGCCTCCATTATATTTTTTAGCTTCCAGGAAGATTATTATATAGAGTTTGTCGCTTCACACTTGGATTACTTCGTTCCTATAAGTGTACTTTATTCACATGAAAAAACTTTTTAGCGGTTGTTAAAATCATTGCGAGTACTACAGTGAAGAAGCGAACTCTTTATAGTATGGTACAAAATTTTGACTTTTATGAAAACTATAAATATCAACTAAACTTGCTTCCTTCAATTTTTCGGACGACAAAATGTCCATTAATTGAATCCTTCTCGAAGACAACCAGTTTTATGTTGGTCATTATTTTTACTAATGAACCTCACTTTCCAAACTGCTGCATTCGAGATTTAACAAGAATACACAATAAATTGAATTAAGAAATAAGCTCCAATATCATTTTAAATCTCAACGCATCTAGAGAAGAACTGTTCCATGCTTGTTTACTCAGCCTCATTGTGTTCTTGTCCTGCACTGCTTACTTAGCAAACTAACATTGAATACTAATTACTTGATTAACTTACTTGGTTATGTAGTTAACTAAAGCTCTTCGCGCTATTATTCAATCAGTATCAACTCTGGCAAAATCAGCTACGCGTACGGACTCAAGCGGACTCTATGTATTGTATACATATGTGAGTGATGGAAACGCCAAGAAAATTCACCATATCGATATTGAAAAGTTCAATATCGATATGGTGAATTTTCTTGGTGTTTTCTTTGCTTTTAAATTCCTTGTGAACTTGCGATATAAGCAGACTAATAATATAAGTACTTACAGTATATGTGACTCTTATGTGAGTGATTCCTTGTGAATCAAATCACGAAAAATTCAAGAATCGGCAACAGGCCATGGGCCTATTTCTTCAGTGCCGACACTTCTATTCTATTCTATTCTAAATGTAATGTGTATAATGTATTGTAATACAACAGGTAATAATTTGTATTAAAAAGTAGCGAATATTGAAAGGTGATAACATTGATAACATTGTTGTCAGACGTCGAAGGCGTTCCTGCCGGCGATGCTGGCGAGCAAGAACATTGTAAGATGATAACATTGTTATATTGTAAGATGATAACATTGTTATATTGTAAGGTGATAACAATGTTATATTGTAAGGTGATAACATTGTTATCAGACGTCAAAGGCGTTCTTACCGGCGATGCTGTCGAGCAACAGCGGCCACGTGGTGACCATAGCGTCGATGTAAGATGATAACATTGTTATATTGTAAGGTGATAACATTGATAACATTGTTATCAGACGTCGAAGGCTCATATCGATATTGAACCATATCGATATTGAACCATATCGATATTGAACCATATCGATATTGAACTATATCGATATTGAAAAGTTCAATATCGGTATGGTGAATTTTCTTGGCGTTTTCTTTGCTTTTAAATTCCTTGTGAACTTGCGATATAAGCAGACTGATAATATAAGTACTTATATGTGAGTGATCCCTTGTGAATCAAGTCGCGAAAAATTCAAGAATCGGCAACAGGCCATGGGCCTATTTCTTCAACGCCGACACTTCTATTCTATTCTAAATGTAATGTGTATAATGTATTGTAATACAACAAGTAATAATCATTGTATGAAAAATTAGCGAATATTGTAAGGTGAGAACATTGTTTTCAGACGTCGAAGGCGTTCCTGCCGGCGATACTGGCGAGCAAGAACATTGTAAGATGATAACATTGTTATATTGTAAGGTGATAACATTGAAAACATTGTTATCAGACGTCAAAGGCGTTCCTGCCGGCGATGCTGGCGAGCAACAGCGGCCACGTGGTGACCATAGCGTCGATGTATGATGATAACATTGTTATATTGTAAGGTGATAACATTGGTATATTGTAAAGTGATAACATTGATAACATTGTTATCAGACGTCAAAGGCGTTCTTACCTGCGATGCTGGCGAGCAACAGCGGCCACGTGGTGACCATAGCGTCGATGGCAGGCAAGGTGGGNGGCCGGTCGCCCCGTGAAAATAAACTGTTTCGCCGTTTTTATCAGATGTTTTACGGATATCTGGTGTTAAATTGGAATAAAAACGGTGAAACGGTGTTTCTTTTCACGTGCCGACCGGCCACTGAAATGCCGGTAATACCGTTAACGGTTATTTTTCTAACAGTAAGGTAGCCCGCTGAAAAGTTCTATTTACCGTGAATAAGTGAATGCAGCGCTTGAGTTTGGTACACTAATGTAGTTGTGTCAGCGTAGACGGTTAGGCAGAGTAACCTGTCGGCGTTTCTTCACATCGCACAAATTTTAACAGTTTGTTGTAGGCATCGAACTCAAAATCCACTACTGCAATCTGCTGTGATTAACCAAATAACTTCCTCGGTTTCCTTCAACAAGTTAGCATTTTCATTATTAACTTCGGGTTTCGAACCAGAAACTCTATTGGAATCTTGGTTATAACAACCACACCCCGAGGGGTTTTGAGAACCATGCCCTCAAATGGTGGTTTTCTAATGAGTGGTTCTAAATGGTGGTTCTCTCTCCATGCCCTCTCTGGTGGTTCTAACATCGGCTTGACTCCTCACATCAGTTGAATTTTAATGAGAAGAGTGCATCGTCTGGTTCTACAAATTATAACAATGTAATTAAAGTTAAGATGTTAAAATAGTTGAATTTTAATGAGAAGAGTGCATCGTCTGGTTCTACAAATAATAACAATGTAATTAAAGTTAAGATGTTAAAATATTCTCCTGCCGAGACGCTGTTGCTAGTGAACGGTGAACGTTTGCTTCATAAGTTTTCTGGAGCATAGAAGGTGTGGTGTCTCTCTCTTTGTAAATAAACCACTTCTGTTCCATTATAATTAATTTCTGAATTAGATGTAAATGAAGAATGACATCTCAAGTTCTGCCGACTTTTATGGTCTCCAAACGGCTTTCGTTACAAATCTCAATTAAAACATTTGAGCTTCTAAAAATGCCTCTGCTAGGTTTGTTCCCCTGTGGGCATTCTTGAATCTGGAAGAAAAATTGATTTTTCGATGTCTTAACCCATTTTCTTTTGTAGGTTATCCACCTGATCGTATTACTTAACTTCGGGAACGGTTTAATCAGTCAATATAATACAAGCTGTTGATTTCATTTATCTATCTTTGAAACTACTGAAATCCTAACATTTTTTTATGTTGGCATTCATCTTATAAGTAATTAACTGTATTTGCATTTCAATCCTCTGCTTTTTACTTAATCATTTAATTGTTAGAGAATTCGTCATTTTTAATCATGCATCATTTTCCTCGTGATTTTAAAGTTTTACATGTTATGATCATGTGAAATACTTGACTTCGTTCCGAACATTTTAATCAAAGAATGTTTTCATTTTAATGTTGATAATGTGGGTCTGGGAATATTTTAGGTACCCTCAAGCTTTTTTGTAGACAATGATCTGTAATAGTAGGTAATTGTTCTCATTCCATTACATAGTTTCTTTCTGTCTCAATACAATTTCCAGAGAATTTGTCCGTACGCTGTATTACGTACGCTGTATTCGTCTTGATGATGATTATGATATTTTTCAACTTATCGAGACTTGCCCTAGATACTTACATACCCCATATTCCTTGATAAATCCAGAAACCTTAACAACCCCAGATTCTTATTATGCCCCAGATTCCCTAATAATCCCAGATTCTTTGACGCCCCAGATTCTCTTACATCCCAGATTCTTTGACGCCCCATATTTTCTTACACCCCAGATTCTCTTACATCCCAGATTCTCTGACACCCCAGATTCTCTTACATCCCAGATTCTCTTACACCCCAGATTCTCTTACACCCCAGATTCACTGACACCCCAAATTCTCTNTCTGACACCCCAGATTTCTTAATATTTGAAGTATATTGTTCACTGCAATTGACGTTTGCTGTGCCGCGCATGCAGCGTGCTGGCCGGGGAGGCTCAGCGCTTCTTGATGTGTCGCGTGATGGGCGTGAGCGAGTCCCTGGACGCGTTCGTTGGTCGTAAGGACAGACCCAATGCTAAGCTCACCAAGTCTGGTTAAGCCTTCCCTTCCTACCCTCCCATTCATAGCAGCTTCCTCGTCCCCCGACAATAAAGTGAGCTTCTTGTTCCAGTTCGTCTGCTTATTCGTGTAGCCAGCACAGAATTGTTCTATCAATGCGGTTCTTCTAACTTCTGTTATTCAGTGTCTTGTTGACCATAGTACACGTTTCAAATCCGAAATTTCCCAAAAGTAGAGGCCTTTTTTAGCGTTTCATAAATAGCCTGACACATTTTCTCGCATCGTTACTCCTGCGCTTCATAATCGCAGTCATGTAGAAGGAATGAGACAGAAAGCGCTCTTAAATAACTGTGATTACATTATACTTCCTGTGATACTCCGGACTGTGATGGTGCGAGGTGTCCTAGCGACCTCTTAAGCTATGCATCCCGCAGCGACATATCCTACGGTATTCTGAAATTTAGGCATCTTCTGTACTTGTCATGTGACATTCCTTTGTAATAATTCATTCAACTGAATCATTAAGTTTTTTCAATTCACTTGCACCTCATGCATGTATTCTGTACTACCTTCTTGCCTTTGTCTTCCAATGCACACAGTTATTATTGTAGTTTATTCTTCTCGTGTAAAGTAAATTTTCTATATTGAATCTACGTTAAGACTCCTTGCAGCGTCCACATTAAGTGAAATGTTTGGTTTCGTCTAAAGTTGCTCACTTCTGTCGTGGCTGGAGTTGTGAACAGTGTAAGCCAGTAATGCATGTTCCTGTAGAGTATCAATGATAGGGTGGCCCAGTGGTTACAGTTCAGAGTACCAGGATTGGCGCAGAGAGGCGCGGGTTCGATCCCAGCTCCTGTCTCTTATACACATCTAGATGTGTATAAGAGACAGATCTGATATTTTGCACACTTACGTAAAGTTGGAGACAATTACTGAATCAATTGATTGAATATAAAATTTAAAAATAAAAAAAAGAGTTTAATTAAAAAAACTGAAAAAATAATTTTGTCTTCTACAAATCTTGTATCGATATTCAACACACTTCTACTTGTCCGATCGATCTGAAATTTTGCACACTTGCGTAAAGTCGGAGACAATGCATGAATCCATTGACACAATAAAAAATTTTGAAAATTTTAATCATTTTCATATATTAAAAAATATTTGAAAATTAATTTTTTTAATGGATGGAAATAAAATTAGAAATTCATTGTAGATGTGTAACATCGGAGACACTGTATTCTTTAGAAGTGTTGCCTTAAAAAAGTAATATTTAAACGCATATTATTACAACACTTCTCTTCAACTTCACTTCTTGTTTGTTTGCAACAAATCTTACAATCGATATTTAACACACGTCTACCTCTTCAATCGATCAGAAATTTTGCACACATGTGTAAAGTTGGAGACAATGCATGAAAAAATTGACAAAATAGATAATTTTGTAAAATAAAAGAAATTAATATTAAAAAAATTGGAAAAATAATTTTATCTGCCACAAATCTTATGATCGATATTTCACACTTCTACCTGTCCAATCGATCTGAAATTTTGCACACTTGCGTAAAGTCAGAGACAATACATTAATCAATTGACAGAATAAATAATTTTGAAAATTTAAATTTTTTTCTTAATTAAAAAATTTAAAAATTGTTTTTAATATTTGAAAATAAAATTCGAAATTTATTGTAGATGTGTAACATCGGAGGCACTGGATTCTTTGGAAGTGTTGTCTTTGAAAAGAAATTTTTAAACGCATATTATTTTAAATATTAAAAAGAAATTATTTTTTAATTTTTCAACAATTTTAGCAAAGGGAACTATTCTTCGTTTCAACAAATATTTAACATCGAAATGTTTCTTCATGGCAGAACGATTGAAATGTCCGCGGCTGTCGGACAAAGGCACCTCATCAAGCCGCTGTTGACGATATTGGGCAACAGCGATGCCCAAACTTTGCCTTCTAAATCAAGTTGAATTTTTTCGCCAGATATTGTGAGTTCCGAAGCACATAAGCTTCATTACCCGCTAAGGTAAGGCTTCATTACTACAAGCCTACCAGCGTTATTTACGAACTGATTATAACCTGTATGCAGGAGCTCGAAATCAAGCTAAACAAATCTGTCGCAACGCAGTGAAAAACTTTGAAAAAAATAATGCAAAAAATTAAAAAAAGAACCCGAAATCCTTTTTTTTTGTACGCTAGTTCGAAGAGGAAGACAAAAGACGGTATTTCTGATTTAAAAGTAGACCAACGAAAAATATCCTCTGATGAGGGTAAAGCTAACGTTCTTAAACAGTAACTTAGTAGCGTATTCACAGACGAGGACTTGCTCAGTATTCCAGCTATTGAGGAGCGACTAGTAGGCTCAAAATTAACATTTTTTGAAATACACTAAGAAAAGGTTCTGAAGTGCCTGGTCGCTCTAAATCTCAACATGTCATGTGGACCTGACGGCTTCCACCCCAAATTACTCGGAAAGTTAGCATTCGTCCTAGCCGGCCTGCCCTTTGACGGCATTCTTCCAAAAAACTTTGAACGAAGGAACTTTGCCGACAGATTGGAAAAAAGCTCAAGTGACATCATTGTTCAAAAAAGGTGATGAAAGTAGCCCCGGAAACTATAGCCCTGTCAGTCTGACAAGTGTTGTTTGTAAGGTAATGGTATCACTCACAACAGATTCATTGTGAGGGATTGGATTATCGATCACTTGTCTGTTAACTATCTCCTATCAGGCTGTCAACATGGCTTTATTGCCGGTAGATCCTGCACCATGCACTAACCTCTTGTCTACGTTGAACGATTGGACTCGCCTGCTGGACGAAAGGGAGCCAGTGGATGCATTGTACCTCGATTTTGCCAAAGCATTTGACAGTGTTCCGCATGAGCGACTGTTGCGTAAAGTGAAGTCTTTGGGTTTAGAGGAAATGTACACAATGGATAACAGATGTTCTAGTAGGCAGACGACAACGTGTCAGTATCAACGGATCCGTTTCAGACTGGACAACATTGCGCAGTGGCGTGCAACAAGGAAGCGTTCTTGGGCCTGTTATGTTCCTTGCTTTTATGAACGATCTGCCGGAAGTAGCGTCAAGCGTGTGCTCCATGTATGCCGATGTATGCCAAAAATGCTCCATGTATGCCAAAAATTTATAATACAGCTACAAATGCGTCAAATTAAGTGAAATTGCAAGATGATCTTGATAGTTTAGTTAGGCTGATACGTGGCAGCTGCGTTATAATGCTGACAATTTAGTGTGACAATGAACAGTATAAGCTTACAGCATGTTAAGAAATGGTTGCAACTAGAGAGTAATGATTAAGAAGTCTTGCGCGAAAAAAGATTTGGGAATTTAGGTCGACAGGCACTGAAATTTTCTAGGCATATTGAAACGCAAAATAATAAATCCAATAAACTTCTTGGACTGATCAGACGCTCCTACGAGTTCCTATAGGTGCAGAAGCGATGAAGCTGTTGTGTGTTGCATTCGTGCGCCCGAACCTAGAGTTTGGAAACGTTGTGTGGTCGCCGAGATTTGAAAAGGAAAAAAGTTTAGCAGAGATTGATCAAGGACGTGCAACAAGGATAATTCCAGGCTTGAAAGGCGAGCCATTTGAAGAAAGATTAAAGATAATGTAGCTTTCAAGCCTCAGTTATCGACGTCTGCGTGGGGACCTCATTGAAGTATACAAGTATACTCATGGTTTATACAAGGTCCCAGAAGGCTTGTGGGGACCTCATTGAAGTATACAAGTATACTCATGGTTTATACAAGGTTCCAGAAGGAATACCAGAATTTGAAATAAGAACCAACACCAGGGGCCACGACAATAAACTAAAAAAATTGCGTTGCAACTAATTTGCGCGGGTTCGATCCCAGCTCTGTGCGCCAGTTTCTGGTCAGAATCGGCAAGGAGGCCGGGCGGTTAAGCACAGCAGAATTGTAGCAGTGAGTTGCGAGTACGAGACCGCAACATGCTGTGAATGTTCTGCAATGTTAAGAATCGGCGACAGGCCTACGGCCTAATAACGCTGAAACCGCTATTATTATTATTATTATTACTATTATTATTATTATTATTATTATTATTATTATTTTTATTATAATATTAAAATGGTTTTGATATAATTGGTGTATTGCATGAAATGCTGTCACCTGTTTTATTGTGTCACCTGATCATCTGACGCGTACCGACAATGCAGGTACAAGGTAACTATTTAATGGGGAATCTGCGGTGTATTGATTGAGTACTCCGATGGTTGATTGAGTACTTTACTTTAATGGTGCAAAAGGTATCTCTTATTTTATCTCTAACGGTATTGTCTAATGATGTTCTATGATACGCTTTTCTTTTGACAATTGCAGGGAAATAAACTGTTTCGTATTTTTTGTCTTCTGCAATCCCCCTTAACCCCAAAAACAATGGACCGAATAAGACAGCGTATACCCATGATATTTAATGGAAATATCTCGATCTGTACAATTTCACTTCTTATTCCCTTATATATATAGTTGTCAGATGGCTAATGAGCTTGTAAGTTCTTTTATATCAAAACTAGAAACTGAATTGTGTTCTACTTTCAAATGTTTATACACGTGCGATTAATGACCTGATAACTCATTGATTTTAATTTCCATGGAGTCGAAAATCTCTCCCGCTGACGTTGGCACATCAAAAGACTTTTTTGTGCAAGTAATTTTACGTTTCGAATAAAACAACCTTTATTTTCAAGCATGTTTAAAAACGAGCAAATTATGCCATCTAATACTAATTACAAATGGTGTACTCTGAGGTTCTTCTGGTCTTCACTAACCCTTACTTCACCAGCATTCTGCCGCATAAGGCACAAGAATTGCTGTACCGAGCCACTGGCACAGACGAGTCTATGGACAAGTTTTCTGGTCGGACCGCGCGTCCTACCAAGAAAAACTTATAAAAGACGAGCGTGGATCTCGAGGTTGGTCTGTATGCGGTTGTTTTCATTGCTTTCCTTCAATAAGGAAAGTGATAATAATATTAACTTCAATAACATTGGAAAACAAAGTTCCTTCAAATATTGCTTTCCCTTTATGCTACTCTTTATTCTATGGTTTCGTGCATGATTTTTAGGCACTAATAATATTATGGCTAACATGCACCTTGCATTAGGCTGTAATTGATAAATAGTGGGTTCCTCATGGATTCAACTATTTAATCTTTTGTAAATAGATTTTAAGACGTATTCTGATTAAGTTTTCTTGTTCTTGTACAGGATATAAGTTTGTGCTACAACAGCATCACGATTGCCATATTCATGTTCTCTTGCAGATGGTATTTGAGTGATGCTTTGGAATGTAACATGGACAGATATTTCGGCTTTGAGTTTAAAATTTCTTACTTTAGCCATAGCATTCAAATTTCGATACTTGGAACAATCGTGTGGAATAAATTTATTTCGATGTACAATTGATTTTTCATGTATTTTAGTGAAATATAGATAACGAGGAAAATATGACATATCGACATAAACTTTAACTGTTGTTTGATGACTCAAATTACCCCAAGACGACCGAAAATTTCTGTATAAATAGAGGATTGCTTTCCTGGACGCTCAGAGTCCATTGCTTTTGAAGAAACGGCTCATTTTTTGCTCGTTACTTAATATTAAGCTTGATTACTTTGTTCGTTACCTGACATTATGCTAGATTACTTTGATCGTTACTTGACATTATGCTTGATTACTTTGTTCGTTACCTGACATTATGCTTGATCGCTTTGTCTCTTTAAAGAATCAATTGTGTAGCGACGGAGAGAGCACAGCAGGTAAGGTTTCCAATTCCATAGTGGCGAACAGTTTAAATTTTTTTCAGATTCCTTGATCAAAAAGTTATAATAAATGGCCATTAGGCTGCTGTTAAAACTGATAACATCAGCAGTAAGATATATAATGACTTTGTACTCGTATGTTTAATCAAAATATGATTTATGGTCAGTATTCAGTCGAATGCATTTTTCTGTTTCATTATCGATTTTGTGTTCTGCTCCATGCGAAATTTTTTATAAAGAATTTAAAAAATTCCGTTACATCTTCCTGAAATTTTTTATTTCGTCTACTCATCCAATATTTTTTCTCTTTTCCCAGAATTTTAACCCACGAAGGACAAAAATTTCTGTTTTACAAGTCAGGCTGTCAGCGCGCCCTCGACGACTTCATGAAAGATCCTCCTAAGACCGAGCTCAAGTCTAGCCCTCCTTCGTAGTGTCTTGTAACTCTTCAGTCACCCCCTCCTAAGATCGAGCTCAAGTCTAGCCCAACCTCGTAGTGCTTTGTAACTCTTCAGTCACCGACACCTAAAATTCCTCTGCTCAGTGTGATGATATTTGAATTTTATTTGAGTTTCTCTTGAACGGAAGGGTTAGATTACAATTATATTCTATTGTATTCATATGCCAGGTGGAACCCAGATTGTTAAGTCAGTTATCATTTATAGTTATATGATAAATTTTAATGGATGTAGAGTCGATTTCCTTCGCATGCCTTAATACAAGAACGGATGGATGTATGACTCGTAACATGTATATTCTTAGTGGTTTTAATTCTTGAGTTTCCCAACGAATATAGTTCGTTGTCCGAAATTTTTGGCGTGAAACGAGGAAAAATGGGATAAGTCAAAATTCAAAAAAACCCTAATTAGAAAATTCAAATCAATCAAAAACAAAAGTTCATTGCCTTGAATGGTTTGATGAATCTACATTAAGATTGCGCGTGGAATACGACTCATAACAATCGTTTAGACATTCCTCGACATCAGCAGGAAGCCCGCCATGTTAGATTAGATGTGCCACGGCCGAGGGCGGGCGACTATACTCATTAACTAATTTATTAAGCCGTCCCGCTGCCTTTTTTTGTGAAGAACGATCAATTGCTTTAACCGTCATTTGCTCCTATTTGTATCTTAGTCTGCTTGTGTATATTGCAGTTAGTGATGAAGGTATTTTAGCTATTGACAGGTAGTTTAATTTTGCCATTTACATTCGCTAATGTCCGCCGCTCGGTTCATCGAGATGACGTTCAAAAAAATTGCGTTTTCGCCGTTGTTTCTTGCCACGCATTAAGCGTCCATTGCTCAGCCGATAGCATTAGCGAATTTCTTTTCTCTGTTTTTCACCTACAGAATATCCAGGTGTAATTTTTGTTAGCGACAGCCCTTTTATTTATTATGTTTTTAAACCATAATAATTATTGACAGTTTCCGCGAATATGTTTTTCCTCGAAAAAATTAGGTCTAATGCGAAAAATTCCTCTGTGGACGCAGCACTTTTATTGCTCCAGAAAAATGTGTGGGATGTAATGTCTGTTCGTTGCAAGGTGGGTTAAACCTTGCATTTAAATTAAGTCTTATCAATTACTGAACGCATTTTATTATTAAGCTGTGTTAAGTCATGTGCTTTGTTTTCTGCTGTCGCAGCTATGCCAGTTGAATAACATTTTATGCAGGATTGTAATTATAGCAAAGTTTTATCTTGAACAACGCGGGAAAATGTAAGTTTGCTAGTTAGAATTTCACCTCTAAATTACTTCTATTTCTTGTAATTAGAGTGACTACTCATCGTGCACTGCTACATCAATCGTGACTCGTTCAATTGCCGTGCCCAGTGATTGTGATGTAATTCGGCAGCTTTTTTATTTCTTATCGTAAGTTTTAGTGTAACTGAAGTTCATGAAGAAACTCTGCCACTTTCATTATATACCTTTTGCGATGAACTTTTGCCTAACAGTAAGATTATTTCGTACAAACTTTGACAAGTTTTTACTAGACATTTAGAGCATAAAAACATACCTGTATTAAAATTTTCAATTTCTTTGTTGTTTTAATTGAAAGTTAGAGCCTACGAGCAAGATTTTGGCTTACATTATAAGCTACGACTGAAATATCAGCAGATAATCAAACATTAAGAAGTCTACTGCTCGACCTACGATTATTTTGCTCGACTTACCAGTGAGAATAATTCGCACAAACTTTAAAAATTTTTAGTAAAAGCTTTGTGCCAAAAAATATACCCAAATTAAAATTTTCAATGTGTCTTTATAATGTATAACGTCTACAGATTTTCGTTGGAAGTGTTAAGCTATGACAGGGCAGGGTGGCCCAGTGGTTAAAGTTCAGAGTACCAAGATTGGCGCAGAGAGGCGAGGGTTCGATCCCAGCTCTGTGCGCCAGTTTCTGGTCAGAATCGGCAAGGAGGCCGGGCGGTTAAGCACAGCAGAATTGTAGCAGTGAGTTGTGAGTTCGAGACCGCAACAAGCTGTGAATGTTCTGCGATGTTGAGAATCGGCGACAGGCCTACGGCCTAATAAACGCTGAAACCGCTGTTATATTATTATGACTGGAATACCACAGATAATCAAGAATAATGCAACTCTGAGCATCTTAATTACATAATTACACCCATTTTATTTTCAGGGAAATTCCGACATGAATAAGTTTTTAAAATTTATTTGATAAAAAAGTGTTTAACAATTTTATGGCACTTCTATCTAATTTTACTTCTACTTGCGAAAAATACAACTTAGACAAGGGAGACCATTGGGCCTAATATGAAATACAAGTATAAAAGCGAAGCGAGAAAGCAAATAACGAACTGTCTTGGAAGACAAAAATCTTGGTCAAGAGAGAAAGTTACTGATTCCTATAGAGTTAATATGGCGCTAGGGTACGCACAGTGAAAGCAGGTTTGCCCGCGCGGGCAACCTGCCACAAGAATGAACATAGGATAATAATGTAAGTGTTCACAGTGAAAACCTGTACGAATAGGCTTCTTTATTCTATGGTTTCAGGAGCCAGCCTCAGCAGGTAACCAGCAAGCTGGCAACCTGCTTTCGCTGTGTGCGTACCCCTAGGCAGTGAGCACTACGCTGATGAGCAGTTGGTCCCAGCATATCTGGGCCGAGTGATAACTTGCCGCTGTAAATAGAGAGCGTCATAAATTGCATGCAAACTCGCCTCCATGTAAGAGTTGCGGCTTCGCACAAAGATGAGCTACATTTTGACAACATAAAACTAAGTTCTTAGCATGGATTTTGAACGATTTTGCTAGCACTTCAACTTTTAAATTGATGGAACGTACACAAAGATCATTTACGTTAGCTTTCTTAGCGACTTCTTTGGTCAATATTAAAAGAGAGCTGTAATGAAATCAACCTAAATGTCATAAACCCTACAGCTACTGTTTCGATGACAGAGCTGACGTTGTCGACATTTTGATTCAGCATTGGCTTGTATGAAAGTTAATAAAAACTGAACAATAACTGCAAATACACCGAATATAAATCAGGAACGACTTTAGATGAAGCAGTTTTCGGTAATCGTTGAAATATATTTCATACGATCAATTTTTTGAGAGAGGAGCAGTGAGGTCAGTCGCTCGAATTAGGACAGCAGGTGCGTCGAGCGATGAAAGTGTAATTCACGTCCTCAGAAATTAAGAAATTTCCCGCATTGGAAGTAATCATCAAACTATAAACACTAAAGATACAGTGGCTACCCAACATCAGAACGTGGATCTGAAATAAAACTCTGGAACCAAGAAGCACGGTCGAGAATTGCTTCGTAAGGCACTTGCTTGGAAATTTGTGGCCTCGAGATATTTGACTTTAAGAATTATGAAAAAGAATGAACGTTTTGATCTATGGATTATAATTGCAAACATGACAAGACAAGAGAAATTAAAGCAAAATATTTCCACCGAATGCGATAATTCGTAATAACAGCGATCAAACTGCACATTCATAAACTTAGTGTCTAAAGGAATGCATAAATAGTATCAAGCGCAGCACTATCTCAAGCACCTCATAAATACTAATATAATCAATTAAGACACTAAAAACTAAATATATGGTGAAAAGTTAAATAATTTGATCACAACATCACGAAAAAAGTTGAATATTTGCTACGAATAAATACTATGCCTACTATGTTAAGTACCAAAAATAGATTATTTTCATTTTAAAGATGTCTGCTTCACACTGGATTTTAGAAACAGTAATTCAAAGTTGGACGCGTTCCCGCCATGTAACTCACTAACATGGATGCTGGCTAGTCGACAACGTCATTCTTGCTGGCTGTAAGTGGCACATGAACCTTAGTCCAGCTAACAAATGAACAATATAAAAAGCTATTCATGTGATACAATTCTTGACTTTATGAAAGTTGCAAAAATCATTGCACACTTTGGCATGCGTAAACATATTACTTGACGCATGCACTCAACTTTTAGCAGGTGATAAATGTGACTATATAAATTGGCATATTAATATAGGTAATAAAGGCATGTGACTATATAATTGGCGCTATTAACGGCATCATGGGCTGTCGTGACATGTTGGCATATTAATATAGGTAATAAAGGCATGTGACTATATAATTGGCGCTATTAACGGCATCAGAGGCTGTCGTGACATGCAGGCTGTAGTGTCAGTCTGAGTCTTCGTTGTCGCCGTACTCGTGATGCTGGTAGCTGCTGGGGCGCTCCGACGCGCCCAGCTGCCGTAAGTGAGCCTCGTCCAGCAGCCCTAGCACCGACGACCGTCTAGCGAGGTCACGGGCACCGCGGCCCTCGCTGCTCAGGGAAGACGTGCTAGATAAACCTTTGTCTCCTGACTGACCAAATCTTTACATAGTACGAGTATCACTAGCCATGATTAATGTATGCGTGGGCAAAATTTATTGAAGCATGTAGGGATCTTAGCTGAATATCCAGGTGTACTGTGGGAAACATAATAATAAATAAGAATAAGAACAATAGTAAGTAATGTGTTGGACGTAGAATAAGTTAAGGCGTTGACGATCCCGTAGCAGTGTAAGAATTCAGAGCAGACTTGTTGTGGGACCAAAGCAAGGACTAGTTTGTGAATTCAGACAACTGCAGAGGTAGTATGTGTAACTGTCGATATTTTTCAATATTGTAATTATTTGGTGTGTCGATACTATGTGAGATATCTAGTAGGGAATTATCCGACTAATTGTATATTTGATTTTGTTCATATAGGGAGAAGTCAACCCGGATAGAAGACCACAAGAAGATTCAGTGTTGTGCTACTATAGTCTGGTACTGTGTTGTGAGGAACATCTACTGTGCTGTGCCTTAGCTTATGAAAGAAGAGAGTTCTGTACCCTATAACGATGCCCATACGTTCACGTTAACTTTGTTCAATGTTCTTAATTTAAATGTTCACTTTTCATTAATATTAAAATAATTGTGTCAACTCGAGATCATTATTTAACCTCGGCACGAAAGATCATTACAAATCACCTAACATCAATGTTGACCAATCATTCGAATTTATGCTAATAATACCATAACAATCATTGAAATAATGAACTTATAACAGAACAATGGGTTACGGCAACAAAAATTTATAAAATTTTACATATTTTGCTGAAATTCATATGAAATTAAAAACAATACTATTTTCTTAAAGACTGTTTGCACTTGGCACCTGGACATAGAATTCAATTCAACTTGATTACTTACCTGTTTACTATTGATGCGTCAGCTCCAGCCTGAAGCAATGCTTGAACTACATCATCATGTCCTTTACTGACAGCACAGTGCAGAGGCGTGTCTCCAAGTTTATTCTGAAACAAAACACTGCATTTGAGGCCCTTTATTGGCACAAAACATCAAGTTCATTCCAACCCACATATAGCAATCATTTTGTCAAAACAGCACAATGAAGTAACACCAAAGTACCTGTAAGTTTATTTCCACTCCTGGTGACTTGAGAATGAGCATGAGGCAGTCAAGATGACCCCCTTGAGCAGCAGCATGCAGGGCGCTGCTGCCGCTCTTGTCAAGAGCGTTGGTGCTGACGCCAGCGTCGAGGCACTCTCGTACAAGCGACACGTTACCACGTCTTGCCCCATCAATGATGGGGACACGGCAACTTGTCTGAGATACTGAATGTTCATTTGAACTTTTTACGATTCAAAAAGTGTTAATTTGATCATTATATCATAAAGTAAAGCAGCACAATTATTACATTACAATCAGAATGGAACAAGCATCTATAAAGAGAAGCACGAGACGATTTAAATTACAGAATCAATCCAAACAAAATCAACAATTCAAATAAACTAGTACATTTCAATTCTCAAAATGGAGAGATATCCGAAAACAGTACATTATATTCGAACTTGAAATACAGAAAAGTGAAGATAAAATGTTAAAATCTGTTGCAACTAGACAAAAGATTAGGATAACATGACCTGAATCTGGGCTGAATGATCACTCATTGATAAGTTTATACTAGCACTCACAATATCGGCTTGGAACCAGTCCTTCCTTGTCATCAAGCCTGGCCTTCCACCAGTCAGAATTGCTTTGGTCCAGAATGAAGAGCAGATCACCTTCCTCGATACTCAGCTCTGAAGCCTGCATTGAAATTACACTAAAATGAAATATTTTTCATTACAATATTAAAAATCACTGCCTAACAGAAATTAAAATATTGAAATAAGCAGCAATATTTTGGATGACAAGCCTCAAAACATTTATATAATTGACCAAATGTTCAAAAAATATATACATATACATGTTAAGTAAAATGTGATCAGATGAATTAAGTTAATTTGTAAAGGCAGAAATCCACTGTCAACATATTATTTTTAATGAACTTTCAGAGCATGAAATATAAGTAAAATGTAAAATTGTAAATAGATCCTGTGATGATTACAACTCAACAAAAACCACCCAAGTCAAGGATGTTCAGCACCTACAAGGGTAGCTAACAAATGTGTATATATTGCTCATACATAATGATGAAATAACTTACTTGCTTTGCTTTATAGCTCCGAATTGCTTCCAAAGCCACCACTTGTCCTGAAAAAAAAAAAAATTAGTTTAAGGTTTCGATGTATATTATATAGGATGACAATCTTATTCTATTTTTTCCAAAAGTGCCAAACATTCAATCACAAGCCACCCAAAAGCCATGATATTCATGTAGAATTATTATAATCAATTACATTCATTGTTATGTAGCACTAAGCCAGATATCTAATACTTGCATGTAAACTAAGGTTACTTATGCAGTACAAGTGAATAGTGCATGTTAATGGTAGGCTAACAGATCAGAAATGTATGTGTAGCTTAAAGCCTTAATCATACCAAAAAAAGAACCAATAATTTCTAGGCAATATTTCTAATTATTTCTATCTATACCAATAAAAATAATGATTACAAGTTCTATATGCTTTAATAAGACAAAAAAATTTGTTACATTTATTTATACAGTAAATTTTGAGATTTGGCAGTGAGATAAAAAAAAATTATTGTGCGCTTGACATGGCAGGTGTGATTGCAGCTCTAAAATGTCTTTTCATGGCTCAGAAAAAATATTTATGGCTCAAGAAAATAGACTCAAGCATGAATTCTTTGAACATCTGTAAACTTTATAAAATTGTGGCTCCAAAAATAACAAACTGAGGATAATAGGGTAAACGCGGTATATGCCGTCATAGTAGGTAATTCCGTCACCTCTTTAGTTTTTCCTTTATATTAAGCTTTGTTTTAGTTCCATGCATTCGTTGATGGTTGAAATGGTGACGTCATACATTTGAGTGTCGAACTAATGCCAAAACACCTGTCTCTTATACACATCTAGATGTGTATAAGAGACAGAGCTTCGCTGCATCGTATTCCATCCAACGCACCGGAAACCTTACTTTTTTTCTAAATAGTTGGCCGAAGACTGAGAAATATATTAAATGCAAGAATTTCAATCTAAATATGTCGGCAAGATCTTCTGAAGGCGAAAATTTGGCTACTGAAGCGTCGCCAAAGATCTTGCAATATTCATCCACTCTCTGCACAGTGGGTCTGCACAGTAGACAATTGAGCCAGAGCCATAAGATTCCTAATTTATTAAAAATATGTTAATTCTGAGCCCCAAGATTGTGGTAACAATAAATTTTTTAAATTTTACTTTCTCTGAGTGCAGTTATTAAAATTTAACATTTATATTATCATTTTTTACCTAACCTATATATATATATATAATGTAAAACTCAAAATATTAGACTGTTCACTTACCCTTTCTAATGGGAGGCGGAGGAGGCGCAACACGTGTTGGAGTGGCCATGTTTGAAGACAATTAAGTAATTGCTGAGAGATCAAAAAGCGATTTATTATGCGTCTTCAAATGTAAGAAAGATAAAAATTATATATTTATCAGCCTATCAGGCTATCATTATCAGGTGTTCCTTCTAAACCGTTCTTCAACGGGTCACTTCTGGTCCGCAGTTGAGGAAAGCAGTTCCATGTGCAGTATTGCGTCAAAACATTTAGAGTAGGTAAACTTTTTAAATTCCATTGAAGGCATATCATGCCTGATAATGAATATTGATTGTATAGATCAACGTGCAATTTATTGGTAGTATTTATCTCATGCTGGCTGTTGGTTTCTACCGCAACTCTTAGGTTTTTTGTTCTACCATTTTTGTAGCTGTGGAGACCCGCCGCAAACATCGGCTTATACCTTATTGACGACGTTTATTGACGTCGGCTCGAACAGGTACCAGTGAGGTAATGACTTCAACGGTGACAAAGTTAACATAAAGTGAAGGCAACTTGGATTGTCGCGCAATTTTACCTTCAAATTACCATTCCGTCAAACGTCGAATTTTCCCAATTGATCATGATGACTGCTTCTTCACTTAATTAACTAAAGAAGCCGTAGAGGAATGTGAAGAAACCATGTATTCATATTTCCCTCAAAATGAAATTTATCCTCAAAGTTCTGTTGTACCAGACTTCACGAGAGTCTTCTGATAGAATGAAAAAATTATTGATTGCAGCATATAACGCGGCACTGCCACACCAGTCGGACAGAAAAGCGTAAAATTTAGTTAACACCTTATAGATAGTGTAATCAGACCTAACTTCAGTAATTACACAGAAATATGATTCAAACTTTGCTAATATACTCTAATTTTCCCTTTCGATGGAGACCATTGACACAATACTTGCATTAAAATAGCGGTTTCAGCGTTTAGTTGGCCGTAGGCCTGTCGCCAATTCTTAACATCGCAGAACACTCACAGCAATTTGCGGTCTCGAACTCGCAACTCACTGTTACAATTCTGCTTTGCTTAACCGCCCGGCCTCCTCGCCGATTCTGACCAGAAACTGGCGCACAGAGCTGGGATCGAACCTGCGCCTATCTGCTCCAATTCTAGTACTCTGAACTTTAACCACTGGGCCACCATTAGTTCGTCCTGAAATGTACGGTTACACAGTTAACGCTTTAGGTCAATTTTTACAACACTTCTCTTCAACTTCACTTCTTGTTTGTTTGTCTTTCTGTCTGCTACAAATCTTATAATCAATATTTAACACACTTCTACCTCTCCAATCAATCTGATATTTTGCACACTTACGTAAAGTTGGAGACAATTCATGAATCAATTGACTGAATATAAAATTTTAAAAATGGAAAAAAAGTTTAATTAAAAAAAATTGAAAAAATGATTTTGTCTTCTACAAATCTTGTATCTTCTTTTTCTTTCTTTGCAGGGTGTCCACTTGGAGTGGACTTAAAGCCGCAGGTCTGCCAGATGGATGACCGTTGGGCCTGAGAGCTTATAGCTTGTGGTTTTCAGCTTCTTTGTATATGAAGTTAATTGCTGCCATTTAGTGAGGTTGGCTGATGTAAGCTCAGTTCAGGATTGGGTAGAAGTTTACAGGGAACATATATTAGTAAATGAAATGAGTTACTGCTAATGTAATTTAGATAAGTAAGGGCTGCTAATATAACAGCCTTCATTAAACAAAAAAAAATAATAATAATAACAATAATAA